TATGCATGTAAGTCTGTACCTATGTTTGTATCTATGTATAGAAATTATGTGTGCAGGCATTTAGAATAGGTATACTTATAGTATCGCATATCTTCAACACGACATGCCATTAGTATCTCGTTTGTTGTGGTATCAGGTGTGCCAGTACTAGCTCCGTACTACTTTGCAGCCGGAAGGAATAAACAAGAGTACGATACCTCCCGCTGACTTTATATATAAACTAGATATTCGAGTATAAATGTGCACAAATATTGTCCGACCGAATCGCTAGCTAAATAAGCGCTTATTTCACGGACAACACCACGTGTCACACTTCATGACATCAAACCGAGCGACGGTAACACGGATACACTTTCTGATGGTGATAGTGCGTTCTAATCGTGAGAGTCGCTTGTGGCGGAAGGTGCCTCATACACACTCAGAACATGTACATTTACATATACATATACATACATATACATATACATATACACGCATATACATATACATATACATTTATATACAAATACATATACATAAATATATACATATTCATATACACATACATATACATATACATATACATATACATATGCGTACATGTAGATCAGCTACAACTATGGTGTTCGAGTTCTATGCTTATGTATTGCTGTGCTTTGAGGTGGTTTTGCCTTGTTATGGCCCAGGGTCACGGACAATCTACATTCGTGTCTTAAATCGCAGTGACATAAGTAACTGCCCACCGGATTCAGTCTAGCCGTGTATTCTATCTTATATCTACTTGGAGCGGAGTTGTATCTACCTTTACGCAAGTATCTGTCACTACTTCTCACTCGTCCGTTTGTAAACAGACGACTCGATCAGTTATATATATTCCTGCCTTGCCCGGGAGTATGCAGTTGAGCTTAGGTTGATATCAACTTGTACTCATCTCATATTTTGGTTAGAAAAGTAATATCCCACTCGTCGTACACTTAGCCTGAACCTCTTTCTGCTTTTCGCGTAGGTGAATCGGTACCTCACAGAACTATCGGCGCATTCCATGTGGTCTCCAGAAACAGAGGAGAACTCTGAGTACAAGAACACAGGTGAGGGGTGACCTACAGCACACTACATTAGTTAGTGCATTGTATTGTTATTAACTCTGGTGAGGGGTGACCTACAGCACACTATATTGGTTAATTTATTATATTGTTGTTAACTCTGGTGAGGGGTGACCTACAACACACTACATTAGTTAATTTATTATATTGTTGTTAACTCTGGTGAGGGGTGACCTACAACACTACATTAGTTAGTGCATTGTATTGTTGTTAACTCTGGAGGGGTGACCTACAACACACTACGTTACTTAATTCATTATATTGCTGATAACTGGTGAGGGGTGACCTAAAACACACTACATTAGTTAGTGCATTGCATTGTTGTTAACTCTGGTGAGGGGTGACCTACAACACACTATATGAGTCAGTGCATTGTATTGTTGTTAACTCTGGTGAGGGGTGACCTACAACACACTAAATTAGTTAGTGTATTGTATTGGTGTTAACTCGGAGTACAAAAACACAGGTGAGGGGTGTCCTACAATACACTACATTAGTTAGTACATTGTATTGTTTTTGTTTGTGAGACTCGAAGACAAATCATTGGTTGCATAGGCGAACAACCGTTATAGCTGTTGCGTTGGATTCTTGTATAAATTCGTACACAAGTTTGGCCGGAGTATCCTTGAGCACACATACACAGCGCATCAGATTTCTGTCGTGGGTCGAATACGACCATAAGTAGGTAGCGTGTACAGACGCCCATAGTTGGGATAGCGGGTGTTGCAGGGCTTGTCAAGCACGAACCCATTCATTCGTGCCACGGGGCGAGAGTATCACTATGTACCAACACAGGCCTGACTCTATACATGCTGACTAGGTGCTGACTGGGTAGGCCAGGATATCTATCAATAGCACAGGACAACACTTACTTCTTCATTGCAATGGCACATCAGGAATGGGTCGCGGAGGCCCTTTCCATGTAACACAGGACACGCTTAGATATATTGACACACCCACTGGAATTGCTTATTATAGCTGAAGCTACTACTGCATGCATCCGTGTATTGTATCTGCACCCTAATCACTGCATATACCACTGCGTCATGCGCGTGCCTCTCTGGCATTGCACACGAACACTCAGAAGCAACCACACTCACTAGCATGACTTGTTCCCGTGTGTCACAGATGACAAACGGAGCGTGGCTGTGATTCTGCGAGAGCTCTTTGCCAAACTGACACAGACTGAGACCAAGTGGGTGGTCCGCATCATCCTGCAGGTGTGGTCGTGGTTTAGAGTTTTAGGGGGGGTTTTTTAGGGGTTCGACGCGCGTGGTCGTGCGGTGCCTGTCTGCTAAGCATAACCCGTTGCCATAGCAACCACACTGTCTACTGTCTACTGACGCCCTCCCCTCCGTCCGCCGACTAGGACCTCCGCTTAGGCCGAGTGGAGGACTGGCTGGTCCTGAACGCGTACAACCCCTTCTTCAACTACATCTACCGCAGCAACAAGAGTCTCACGTTTGCGTCGCAGAAGGTGTGTCCCACGCCCATCCGTATGCGCTGTGCATTGCATGTACGCACACGCCTTAGGCCATCCGGCGCACACGTACACGACTGGTCAACGGACATACACATACAGCGGCGATGATCCAAATGAAACACCTCAGCACAATCCAGCTCACCTGTCTATGAGGTGTTACCTTTTTGGATGACGATTCGTCTTTCGTTGCGGTGATGTGTTATCTTTGTGGATGGTGCTGATGTCTATCATAAATTATTTGGTTACGATTCGTCTTCCATTGCTGTGATGTGTTACCTTTGTGGATGACGATTCGTCTTTCGTTGCTGTGATGTGATATCTTTGTGGATGGTGCTGATGACAATCATAAGCTATTTAGCTACGATTCGTCTTCCATTGCTTTTATGTGTTACCTTTGTGGATGACGGTTCGTCTTCCATTGCTGTATTACGATTCGTCTTTCGTTGCTGTGATGTGATATCTTTGTAGACGGTGCTGATGTCTATCCTAAACGATTTAGTTACGATTCGTCTTCCATTGCTGTGATGTGTTATCTTTGTGGATGGTGCTGGTGACAATCATCTCAATGATCTGCGGCAGTTCCCTCTCATAGCAACTCTTCAATCACAATCTGTCGTTCCTTCTTTCTTTTCATGTGTTGCTCTTTGTGGCTTGGGTTAAATAACAAACGCTTTAATGATATCTATCAGATCGTTCCACAGTTACTGTCTCTCTAATTGGGCCATGCCATTGAGCATGGGGTGCGTGACATACAGAACTATGATACACAACCGCTCAGCTCAACTCAGATTACGCTCCTGCTCGCCTACATACACCACCATACCTGCTAGAGTACCACTCTATTCGCATACAGGCATACATATATCTGACAACTATTTGCATACAGACATCCATATATCTTGCAACTATTCGCATACAGACATCCATATATCTTACAATTATTCGTAAACAGACATCCATACATCTTACAACTATTCGTCAACAGACATCGATATATCTTACAATTTTTCGTAAACGAGACATACATATATCTTACAACTATTCGCATACAGACATCCATATATCTTACAACTATTCGCATACAGACATCCATATATCTTACAACTATTCGTAAACAAACATACATATACCTAACAACTATTTGTAAACCGACATCCATATATCTCACTTCTATAGTTTGGTCCCGTGACACACTGAGCCATGAAGAGCGATCACCACCTGTGCAGGTCCACATGCCATTCCCATACGCATTCCCCACATGACCTGTGCTGTGTTCCCCAGTCTCTCGCTAAACAGCTACGCCTGTGCAGAATGCGTTCTCATACCATCCGCCCCTCTCCTTCCCTCTACCGTATTCACTTGTGCCTGTGCTTTTGCTTGTGCCTGTGCTTGTGCTGGTGCTTGTACCTGTGCTTGTGATTGGGGCGGGGATTCGCCAGCTCTATGACATGCAGCAACGAGCGAAGGACTTGCACAACCCAAAGGTATCGCTGGACTGGAGCCTCGTGTCGAGCATGGGATTAGTCACTCTGCACATGCCCATGGCACCAATGGGTTGCGCTAAAGGTATGTGCTTGGTCGCTACATGCTTTGTATATACATGCTTGGTAGGTACATGCTTGGTAGGTTTCCTTCACCCCAAAACTAACCCCTCTTACACCCAAGTCATCAAGCATGACTCACTACTGCATATGAGTCAACAACATGACTCACTACTACACGTATATATATATATATATTATACATATATATATATGTCTATAT